TGGGTAGCACTGGGGCTCCCAGGGCCTCAATGAAGGGCCGCCCCGGGCCACAGTCCCCGGCTGAGGCCCTGCACCCCGCACGGCGCTGCTCGGGCTCCCTGTCCTCCTCACTCCTTTCTCCTCTTCTCCATCTCTTCCTCCTCCTCTCCGTCTCTTCCTCTTCCTCCCCGTCTCTTCCTCTTCCCTCTCTGTCTCTTCCTCTTCCCTCTCCGTCTCTTCCTCTTCCCTCCCCGTTTCTTCCTCTTCCTCTCCGTCTCTTCCTCTTCCTCTCCGTCTCTTCCTCTTCCTCTCCGTCTCTTCCTCTTCCTCTCCGTCTCTTCCTCTTCCCTCTCCGTCTCTTCCTCTTCCTCTCCGTCTCTTCCTCTTCCTCCCCGTCTCTTCCTCTTCCCTCTCTGTCTCTTCCTCTTCCCTCTCCGTCTTTTCCTCTTCCTCTCCGTCTCTTCCTCTTCCTCTCCATCTCTTCCTCTTCCCTCTCCGTCTCTCCCTCTTCCCTCTCCGTTTCTTCCTCTTCCTCTCCGTCTCTTCCTCTTCCCTCTCCGTCTCTTCCTCTTCCTCTCGTCTCTTCCCCTTCCCTCCGCCCCGAGCACACGGGGGAACCGGCCGTGGGAGCAGGAGACACTAGCGTGTGGACACGCTCCCTCAGCGTGCCCGTCCAGCTCCCGTCCAGCTCCCCAGGCCTCCCACCGGACCCTGCTCCGTGAGGCCCCAGGACCAAGCTGCTCCCTTGAAGGTCACTAAAGCCATCCCCAGGGTCTAGCTCCATGGGGAGGCTCTCCGGTCCCGCCTGGGATGGACCTGGAGCATCTCATCCCCCCCTTCTTCCTCCCTCCTCCTCTTCTCTCTTTCTCCCCTTCTTTGCCCCCTTCCCCTCCCTCTCCTCCCCCTTCCCCTTCCCCATCCATCTCCTCCCCCTCCCCCTTCCTCTCTTCCCCCCTTCCTCTTTTTTCTTCCTCTTTTCCCTCCATTTCCCCTCCTCTTTCTCCCCCATCTTCTTTCTTCCTCCTCCTCTCCTTCCTCTTCTTCCCCCTCTTCCTCCTCC